CATTCAGCCAGGAGTCCTGCATATCCCGAAGCTTTTGCTGTACTTTTCTGTGAGCGTTCCTCAGAGCGACTTCTTGGTTGTGGAGGTGGGATCATCTATATGAGCCTTGTAAGCGCGAAGTTTGTCCTCTAGAAGCTGCGTGATCTCGGCACAGTTCTTATCAAACCAGTATTTGTGTTCTTTTTTGTGGAGGGCACAAGACCCTCGAAGGCTGTTTTGTGCACTGTATTACATGTACGAAGTGTGTTCCATGCTGCTTCTACGTCATGGTCATCCAGCACGGTGGAGTTGAGGTGTTCTTTCAGGGTGTCAGCAAAGTACTGAGAGGTGGAAGGCAACTTAAGCTTACCAAAGTTGACACATTTTGAAGCCTTAGTCTCCTAGGATGTATCCTGAGTTTGATCCGGAAGTTGAGAGGTGAAGTTTATAAAGACTGTGAGACGGTGATCTGTCCAGCGCTCCGTGCCGCATATAGCCTTGGTGAACAAACGAACTGTGTGTCTCTCTCTTCCTGACAATGACGTAGTCCTGATCCTTATTTTCTTCTTGTTCTCTTTGTTATTTCGACCGCATGTGCAGGGTCCCTATCAGCCGCGGTACACTGGCTAGGGAAGGGTGGAGCAGGCAACGTTTGGGGTAACTTTTCTAATCTGCTCCTCTTCCCATGGAGGTGAGCAGTGCGTTCCTAAAGAGGGCTGCTCTGTTGCATAGGGGGCTGCCGAACTCCAACGCTGCTCTAGTCGGTGAAGAGCGACCATATATATGGCCTGTGCCGCCTGTGTGCAGGTCCGCGAGTACCGACTTTCAGTGAACCCGCACCTGTCACCTTCGTTGCTTGCCTGTCGCCAAAGGGCTTTCGGTTGGACGACAGAAGGGATGGAAGATGATCAATGACTTATGCGATGAGTTTGATTAAAATGAAGAACGGTTGCGCGTCGCTGACCTCACTGTCTCGCCCGCAACCATCTAGATCCAGTGACAAAACAGATGTAAGGGCGTCTGGAGATGAAGAAAGATACAGCGGATGAGCAAGCCCTCAATCAACAGGGTTTGAGATCTGTCAGCACTTTGTGTAGAGAGTGCTCTGCTAGAGGGATCTCCCATAAGAGTGTACGGGTTCCCTCTACCTGGACTAGTGAAGGGAAGGGGCGTCAGGCCATTGCAGGTTGTGAGACACAGTCCACTGCCCACAAAGCACATATATGATTGTGCACATATGTTGCTTAATTTTGATGTAAAAAATATATAATATAATACACTTTTAACTTAGATGAACATACAAGTGTTCATTATCACAATGGTTTAGCATGAAATCAAATAAATAAAACATTTTACGTAAAGGCTCTACTTGAGATCTGACATATTTACAATATCTTTGTTAAGTAAATAAAGAATATACGCACAAGGTAAATCAAGGGAATTTTCCTTCAATTTTCATTTTTAGGATAGGGATAAAGATTTACCATTAAATCAATTTATATATATTTGCTACTTAAATAATGTTTTGAAATGCTAATACATGATATAAAAATTCTTTAAATAAAATGACCATGCAATATGTTTTTGGTGTGAAAATTGTCACAGTAGTAATTTCTAATAATTTCTTTTCTTTGATCAAAATTTCAAAATTGCGTATTCCACTTTTTTTTATCAAGGGTAGATTTATGTTCCTATATAATTTAGACGACTCATTACAGAGCCAATATTGAATAATGACTGAACAGGGTAATAGCATGGTCTGCATTCAAAAGTATTTTCAAGAAAATATCATCCGAAATAAGATAGAAATTGCGTATTGGAAAAACCAAACATCTTCTTTAAAAGACACGGCTGAGAGAACGAACAAGTTGGGTTGGTGTATATAAACCGTTGATACACCATTAAAGCCACAATCAATTGAATGCTATCATACATTTTCTGAAGGTAGAGATGTATGAAAATTATTCACCCGAGATGGTACCGATACCGAAAAATTCATGGCCTGGCTCATGGACTAATGGTTGCTGTGATGGTACTTTCTTTAACATTTTACTGAATAGATGCGAAAGTAAGTAAACTATTGTCAACATTTTTTTCAAACATTTCTCTCATAAGTCATACGTATTTTTTTAAAATCCTTATGGAAGCTTCATGGATATGTTTGTTGATGACTGTGTCATGTAAAATGAGGTTAAAAGCTGAGCAAACATTGTCATTGTAAATGCGATCTTTTAAAAACAAATTTAAGCACTTTTTTTTCGAAATTTACTTTAATCCAAAATCATATGACAGATTTACAATAAGTAATAAATAATGAAATTTAATTTACCATTTATCTTTGTACAATTGCTATGGTCACATCGATGGGTTTGCCTATACCCGTAAACTATATTATCTATCATTCTATGACATTGAATGATATATTTCTTTGCACGAAAAATGAATAAGTTTCAGATTTCTTGGTATGTAATTCAAATATATATTAGTACAGCGTGTACAGAATGCAATGATTTACATTTAGAATGTCCAAGTGGCTATTTTGGACCAAACTGTATCAACAAATGTTTGTATTCTAGCTATGGCATAAATTGTCAACTATTTTGTTCGTGTGATGATATTTCTTGCAACTTTGCAAAAGGATGTCTCCAAACAAGTAAGTATTTATTTTTAAAAGTCCAAATGTTCACTGCAGTTAACACGGTTTCTGTAGTATTTGCAACTCCTTCATGTCCTACAGACCTAAAGATGAAATTAAACACCTTTAAATAAAGGATACTAAGTTCAATTAAAGATAGTGTGACGCTTATGATAACAAGCAATCCTAGTCAGAAGGAAGAGTAATTAAATTACAACCCAATGAGTTTATATTTGAAAGCTATGTATTGAGGAGAATTTGATGCATTGGTTAACATTTCCTGTTCAAAAAATAATCAAGGTCTGCTGTGTGGTTAAGTTTTTTTTAACACTTAATTTGTGAATAAAAACCCGTTAGCTCAAAGGTCATTGAATCAAATGAATGAAATCACAAGACTTTACAAAAATCAACAGCATTAAAACTTACGACTTCTCAACTTTATACACAACAATTCCGCACGACAAATTAAAATCCAGGCTTTTTGATATCATTGACAGCTGCTTCTTCAACAAAAATGGAACTCGTAAGTTTACTTACCTCGTCATTGGTCATTTGAAAAATTATTTTGTTAAAACAAATTCTGATTGTACACATAAGTACTCTGAAGTTGACATCAAGAAGATGCTTGAGTTTCTGATTGACAATATCTATGTGGTTTTTGGAGACCAGGTTTTCCAACAATCTATTGGAATTCCCATGGGTACAAATTGCGCTCCGTTATTAGCAGACTTATTTTTATATTCATATGAAGCAGAATTTATGCAAAATCTTTTGCGTGAAAAGAAAAAAACACTTGCTGTGGCCTTCAACTCGACATTTAGATATATCGACGACGTATTGTCAATTAATAATGATAATTTCCATTCCTACGTCGACACGATATATCCTGGTGAGCTTGAGATAAAAGATACCACAGAGTCCAACACATCTGCTTCATACTTGGATATTTTACTTGAAAAGGACACAAATGGTAATCTAACAACCAAGCTATATGATAAACGTGATGACTTTAACCTTTCTATCGTCAACTTCCCTTACTTATGCAGCAATATACCTTCATCACCTGCATACGGAGTATTTATATCTCAGTTGATTCGATACGCAAGAGCATGCTCTACGTATGAACAATTTCTTAAACGAGGTAAATTATTGACAAGCAAGTTGATGAAACAAGAATATCAACAGTCTCGTTTAAAGTCATCATTTCGTAAATTCTATGGTCGATACAATGACCTTGTCAGCAAATACAATTTATCATTGAATGAAATGCTGACTGACGTTTTTCATACCAATTGTTAGTCCATTATTTATACACTGAATTGACTACGGATTTTTTCCGTTATTTCCTGATTATGACAATGAGCACACGGCGGGTGTGACCGGTCAGCAGGGGATGCTCACTCCTCCATGGCACCTGATCCCACCTCTGATGTTTCGGAGGTCCGTGTTTGCTCTGCTCTTGTTTTGTATATTTGTTTAATGGACGTTGAGATTGAATACTGTTCGTTATTTCCATATCCTTATACATATGACATTTAACCATTCCAAATAGTGTATGTGGTGCATATGTTCAAATAATGCTGATGCATAATTTTTTGATATTATTAACTTTTAAAAATAGAAATAAGAAGTTTTTAAAACTCTGATTCTGTTGATTCTTATCCATATATTGTTATATCTTTTGTACTATATGTTGCATATCATAGGGGCACTGAGGGTGTTGATTCACATTTTCTCTTTATATGTAAGAACTTTTATTTCAATTACATCTATTAAACATATTTGGCTCGAAAACCAGCAAAATGTTAATTGATGAAACCACACATTTTTTGAAATTTGAAAAAAAATCAAAATGAACATCATTTATTTATATATTCAAAGAAATACTCATAACCCAACAATCACTATAAATTGAAAACTCATTATCTTAACTTTCTTTCGATATATAGGTCTATATATTCATAAAGATAACTCGTCGTGTTATGAATGGCTTTACAATCAGTTTCATGCACATTCATATTGATCTTTTGAACCCCGATTTTGATGTCATCTGAGAATAATTTAATTTAGTCTTAATAGTGTAATTTGATTGGACTAGACAGTCACATGACTGTGTTTTATAAAGTATAAAGAATGTAGGTATAGAGCCACGCCCCCTTAGCAACAGTGAGCCGGAACTACTTTTTACCATAACGTCCTGTTTACATTAGGGTTTATAGTAAAATGTTAATCATTTTATGAAAAATAATAAAAATTTTTAAAGAAATTCTTTTCATTTTTCTTATTGTGCCATCTTAAAGTAAATTACACAATTATTATGTAAATCAATAGTCAAGGCACTAATAAGATGGAACTATATGAGTTGTGATATTTTGTCGTCTGCACAATGGCAGATTTTGACATGCTGGGGGTAGGAGAAAATGTTGAAATTGAAGAAATTGATTGGGAAACCCTTCATCAAATCTTTGATTGGGAACTTGATGTATCAACATCTAGAAAGGAATCTGAGGAAGAGATGAAAATGGTTTTAAATCCTATAAAAACAGAGGAAACCATGCTAAGAGACCCAGACTCAGACTGCAGGAAAAAAAGATTCAAAACTGTTAATGAAACAGAGCTTCAAGAATTGAAAGAAAGAAGGCAGTCAAAAGCTACAAAGTTTAATACAAAGTGGGGAATAAATTTGTTTCAAGGTAAATGCATGTTTTAACTATTATAAATGTAAATTATTTCAAGTCAACAACATTTTTAATATCCAGATTGGGACTTAAACCCACATTCCCCACACAAATTGCATGGTTGCTTTACCATTAAGCTATCTGGATTTATATGAAGTATAACTTGATAAATTGATAATAAAACAAGAGGCCCATGGGCCACATCGCTCACCTGAGAAGTTTTGACCATTCTGTTCTTTACCAGATTTCACCCTTGTTATACATAATGCATCCCCACCCTACCCCACTGATCATAATTTAGACATTTTGAAATCTACACTACCCCATGATCCTTCCATGGGCACATATGTTTCAGCTTTTTTGGCCCAGTGGTTCCTGAAAAGAAGATTTCCAAAGACTTTTCCTATATATTTCTATGTAAAACTTTGATTCCCTATAATGGTCCCGCCCTTCCCCCGGGGGTCATGATTCCTACAATTTAGAATTTACACTAGCCCAGAATGCTTCCACATAAGCTTCACTTTTTCTGGCCCAATGGTTCTTGAGAAGATTTTCAAAGATTTTTCCTATATATATTTCTATATAAAACTTTGATTCCACAGAATCTACATTATACCAGGATGCTTCCACAAAGGTTTCAGCTTTTCTGGCCCAGTGGTTCTTGAGAAGAAGATTTTCAAAGATTTTTCCTATATATTTCTATGTAAAACTTTGATTCCCCATTGTGGCCCCGCCCTTCCCCCTGGGGTCATGATTTGAACAATTTAGAATCTACACTATACCAGGATGCTTCCATATAAGTTTCAGCTTTTCTGGCCCAGTGGTTCTTGAGAAGAAGATTTTCAAACATTTTTCCTATATATTTCTATGTAAAACTTTGATTCCCTATTATGGCCCCGCCCTTCCCCCGGGGGTCATGATTTGAACAATTTAGAATTTACACTACCCCAGGATGCTTCCACATAAGTTTCAGCTTGAATGGCCCAGTGGTTCTTGAGAAGAAGATTTTTTAATGACCCCACCCTATTTTTGTCTTTTCTTGATTATCCCCCCTTGCAAGGGGATATGTCCCTTCATTTTGATAATTTAAATTTCCCTTCCCCCAAGCATGCTTTGTACCAAGTTTGGTCGAAATTGGCCCAGTGGTTCTTGAGAAGAAGTCGAAAATGTGAAAAGTTTACAGACGGACAGACAGACAGACAGACGGAAAGACAGACAGACAGACAGACGGACAAAATGTGATCAGAAAAGCTCACTTGAGCCTTCAGCTCAGGTGGGCTAAAAAGGTCCCCCTTTTTTGTAGAATGGAGTGTTGAAGCTTTGGGACTGCCAACTGATATCCATAATATTTCCCCTACTGAGCTGAATAATAGACTTGAAAAATTTTATGCAGAGGCTACACCTAAACCCAATGAAAAAAGGTCACAATATATGACAAAAGAACAATCAACAGAATACCACAGTAATACATACAAGAGCATAAGATCAGCAATTAATCGCCATGTTCACGACATAGGACGTCAGTTTGACATAGTGCGTGACAGAGAATTTAGGGGTAGCAATAATGTCTTAGACGGAAAACTAAAAAATAATTTACAAGAAGGACTCTCCCGACCAACAAAGCACAAGGCTGTTATTCCTAAAAATGATCTTGATAAAATTTCAGCATACCTTTATGGAGATTCAACTTCTGTGTCTTTAAGATTCCGCATCTGGTTTTTAATCGCCATTCAGTTTGTCAGCAGGGGACTCGAGTTTCACGAGCAACTAAAGGTCAACTTATTTGAGTTTCACTTCGATGAAAATGGACACGAATACGCTGTTTTGTCTCATGACACTAAGCAAAAAAAAACTGGCAAGGGGGCATAGATGTGTCTGAAACCCCTAAGGAAAAAAGAATGTATGTAGTACCAAATGCTAGGGAACACTGTCTAGTCAACTCTTTAAAACAATACCTCTCAAAGATGGACCCTACTGCAACATTTCTTTTTAACAGATGTTCAAAAGAAGTGTTATCCTCTCCAACTACAGAGGAAATTTGGTACACTAATGTTCCTATCAAAAAATACCAATTCACACGTTTTATGGCTGATATTTGTAAAAACGCAAAATGTGAAAATTCTTACACTGCACACAGCTTACGTGCAACCTCCATACAAGGCATGAACGATGCAGGATTCGAAGTGCGACACATAATGCACATGAGTGGCCATAATAACGAATCCTCTGTAAGGAGTTATAGCCGAGAATGTGCTACTTACCAGAAGAAGTCGATGAGTAGAGCTTTATCCAATCTGATCGTCCCACAAACGGATAGAAATGACACTGTTCAGGTTACAGAATCCAGCCATAATCATGCCGTCACATGTAAACATATTGACGTCTCCGCTCCAATAACAACATCAGCAGAAATACCGATTGCTTTCCAGTCATCAACATTCTCCTCTGGATTCATATCAAATTTTGCTTTTCATCGATGTGTCTTTAATTTTACATCCAAGTAGATAACTTACACCACAGAGCTTGTGTTGTTGACTTCCGAAAAAATGGCCGTCGATTGGGTGGATTGAAGCTGTTGATCTCTAGATCATCTCGTTACTAGGATGACGTATTCTTCCGCGGTTACATTTAAAATTGTATTATTTTTACGAAATAAAATTTGTTATTTTGAAACATTTAGTGTTAGAAATTAAATTATAAGGAATGGATTATTTTTTTTTTAATTTTATACGATATAAAATGGTTTGGGGCAGTTTACGCTTTATAAACCGCGAAGCGGTTTATAAAAAAGCGTAAACTGCCCCAAACCATTTTATATCGTATAAAATAAAAAAAAATAATCATTCATTACTCAATTATAGAAACTTGCCTTTTTTGTTTTTATATTGCCTAAATCTAGTTTTTATTGAATAATTCAGCAATGATGTTTTCAGAAATAATTGAACGCTTGCTTGATGTCTTTTTCATTTAAAAATACAAGATCCTAGATCTGCCAAACACCATTCTCTTTTTTTTTGGCTAATTTGAGGCTGTTCATCTAAAATGAAAGTAGACATTTAATTTATTTATAATAATAGATATACACGTGAAAGATAAATATCAAGACCTTATACCTAGTCCATTCCAACTCTTGTGCAGCCCTTTCGGAGTTTATTTTCAAAATATAATATAAAGGAAATGTCTTTAAAAATTGTTTTCTCTAGAATACAAAACGATGATAAGTCATATTATAAAAGAAGTATTATCAGGTAGTGTAAATTCAAGTTTGTTCCAATCTTGACCCCTTGGTTTAAGGCAGGCGTTAAAGTTTTACATAGTTTAATATAGGTGTAGTGTTACATGTAATAGGCTTTGAGTAAAACGATTGAAGAAAGGAAGGACCAAACAACCTGACCACCTTTGGAATGGACAAGCCAAAAAAAGGTTAATAAAGGCAAATGGGAAGCTTGGGACAGTACTAAGGGTACTTATTATGTATATTCACTGAAAATGGATGTGTTTATAGTTATACTGTGCATAAATCGCTTTTATTACGTTAACGATACACAAGTTAAGCTTGCCATTACTTTATAAACTGAATGTATATTTATACGTAAGAGTTTAACCTGCATTTGTTTTTTTTAAAATATAAGCCAAAAAAGTATAAATATCATCAATAATTTACAGAATTACAAGTAAGCAAATTTTGCGATTTAAAATGTTTTCATTTAAAAAAATCATTATACAAAAAAAAAAGATAGAAGAAAATGGTTTATGTACAGGTGCAAGTCAACTTCTTAATAGCTATAGAAGACAAAGAATGATTTTATTTCCTTCGTGGTTGATACAGTTATTCAGTGAGGACAATATGCAACGACCAAAACATATTAGAGATTGGAGACCAACATTCGCAAAAGAGAACGACATCTTTCTGTCTTTTGTTCGGCCTCACAATCATGAAGGGGATTTCATTGGTTTGGCAGCACAATCCTTTGTCTACAAAATGAAGAAGAGATGCAGAGAGGAAGCAGCACCAATATTTTTCCACCGAAATATAATAAGAAGTAAGGAGCTCTCCGGAATGGCGACTGTGATGACGCTGTGATAGACATGATAAGAAAGTTCCCCATTTTTCAACTCTGCAAGTCTGAGTTTTACAGAAGATGAGGAAATATGATAGGCAAACTGCCTACCACACAACCTCCAGGATCCATGGACACAGACCATAGCTCATGAGAGATTCCTTTTTTTTGACGATAGAAATAAAGCAGGAGACAAAATAACTGTGTTTGCCATTAATTACTGTCTTCTGTGTTTATTTTTGTTACAGGATCTTCTACTACTGCATATCTTTATTTACCCAGCTATACACTCTACATGCAGATTACATGTACTCATTATACGGCTGCATTTGTTCATGTCATGTCAATTGGGTTTCATGAGCATTATTTCCAAGAATGTTGGGAAAAAAAGTTTAATTTCAACCACATATTAAAAAAGTTTATTTTCATGCGGCTGCATTTGCTCAATTCGTGAGAACTGGGGTTCATTGGCATGATCTTCCAAGTTATTTATGAAAAAAGGTTAATTTCAGCCGCATATGACCAAAATTGTATATCTATGCGGCTACATTTGCTCATTTCAAGATATTTATGGAATATTTGCATAACATTTACAACTACGAGGGTTGATCCAAAAGTAATGTCACAGTGTCCATATCTTTTATATTTGGCGTCATATTATCAAATATTATATACCAAAAGATGCACAAATATAAATTAAATTAAACTTTAATTTTTCATTCAATAATGTTTAACTGAATTTATTTTATAGATGTTTAAAACATATAAGATAGGGGGTGTCGCCGCGTCAAAACCAAACGCGACAAATTAAAGTGTACTTTTTTAAGTATGAAACAGACAAACACTTAAAAAGCATCTTTTAAAAGCCCTAAACGCAAAATACTTTAAAAGACCAAAATTTACATTATTTTCTAGTCTTAAATTGAAAATTATACGACATCACTGCCAATTGTTTTTTTAAAAACATAGTTGATTTATTCCGGTGTATTGAACATGTTGAAAAAAGGAAATGTCAAAATGGACAAAAAAGCCAAAACAAACTGTAATGCATTTTTGCTTCAAAATGGAGAAATCGCCAGTAGAGACAGTTACGAACTGATTCACCAGACTTTTGGAGGAAAGAATGTAAATAAGAGACGTGTTTAGATGGTTTCAACGATTTTCGGTGGGTGATGGGTCATTAAATGCTCAGCAGATGACAAGAAAACCGAAAGATGGGAGGGCGGACGGAAATGTTCAATGGTGCGTGACGTTGTCAAATAGACAGACGGATAGAGCCATATGTGAAATTTTAAAGTAGTCTTTTACTACTGTTCAATGACTTTTTACAGAATTAATTATGAAAAAATGAGTGTACGATGGGAAATAAGGGTAAGAAAGTGAAATTTGTGAACGTGTTCGTGGATATCAAATCTCAAATATTTTTTTAATGAAACGAAGGGAAGCGTTTAAATGTATGACGGCGCGTATCCGTCATATGACGTTATTTAGCTGCGGCGACTACCATAATCGCACGTTGTATATAATCCGATATTTTGAAAAGTATAAATCATGTTGAATTGAAATTTTCAGGTCTGATTTGAAATAAATGTAGCTTTCATCATTTATAATTTTGTTGTTTTACGTCGACGGATAGCCATTTTATCGAAGTTGTGTTATCATATGATAATGCAAAACTCTATTCAAAAAATAGTCCCTCACTGATTAATACGTAAATATTAACTCAATATCGCAATAGTTTTAACACTCTTTATGTTGAGTTTAATAAAAAAGCAATTATCATGAATTCCGATACTGCTTAACTAAAGGCATGCAATCACCAGTTCATTTGATTAGGACAATGCATAAAAACTTTCATTTACCGAAATCTTTTGATTTCGCTTCCTCATAGTTTCCGCACACAGAGTTTCTTTAGCTATTTTCTAAAAGACTAGAAAAAATATATATTACCTCTGTCATAACAACATTAGTTTATTATAACGATATTGGAATGATTTTCAAGTAAATTGATGAGTTTTGATGTTATCTTTTAAGTTGAGGACATGTAGCATGTGATACAATTTTTTTTTCTCTGGAGGAGACCTGAGGGGGCCGAATGGGTTTCCGTTAAACAATATTTCGCGCATCATAAAAAACAAAGCATATGTACTTTTTTCAGATTATTCTTTTTCATTTAAAATACAACTTAACAGAATTAAGAAATCACTGAATGAAAATATTTTTTACAATGTTAAATATCTGATTTTTTAAAACGATCTTTTAACTAATAGGTAGTAACCGTGTTTCTTTGACATTAGATAACGTGACGCTCTATCAGAAGAGGTAATAAAAATGTTAGGACAGAAAAAGTAAAAGATAAAGGACCTAAGATCTTGAAATTTAAAACATAGAAAGAACAAGGTTCATCTTTGTCTATTTTTGCCCTGTAAATTTCTGAAAAACTTAAACTACCTAGTTTTAGTTACCAATGCATTGAATATCACTTAGATCTTTGATGATTGCTTGCATTGTGTCTATCAAAAACGACTCAATTTTCTGACCAGCCAATGCATTATGACGCCACGAAATGCGTTAGTTTCCTCATAATCTGAAAGAGTCTATAAAACGGCCAATTTTTCAAAGCTATTTTTTATATTCAATATAGAGCGCAACCACTGATCTAAAATATGCAACAGGTAAATGATAGAACAGTTTCTGAAAAATACTTGGGCGGTAGATTTTCCCTAAACATGACATGTACACTGATGTTGATATAAGTTGTAAATGGAAATAAAAAAAGAGTTTCTTTATTGTTGGTTTTACAGAAAA